TTGGAATGCAAAGTGATTCAACCATAAAAAGATCTTGGAATTCATCATTTTAAGTAAATTTCTTGACCCGAAATTCATGTTAATGAATGCTGCAAATTCTTACAAGAAGATTGGACACTTGAAATTATCAACCAAATTTTGGTATAATCAGGGATACTATGCAGGAGTAAATACCGAAAGAGGTGCACCATAACCCAGCAAGGGAATCAAGATATTTATTCCCATTACGGAACTAGACGTACAAACGAACAAGAAGGGTTAGAAAATGATCAGAGGAATGTATACCATAAGGAAACCAGTACAAGAAAAGCTATACCTCAGACTTCTCAATTACAAGAGGGTTCAAGTCCATTGTCTGCCATCCAGCACCATGACCCTTGAAGCTGAAAACATGCAAAATTAATGGCAACATTTATTACTAATTCTTTTGTAAATGTTGGAAAGTAAACGGAAAGTAGAAAACGTTGGCTAATATTGCAACCTGAAGTGTTACCCTTCATTATCAGTAGATGAAACATTTTTCTGCACAGATGCTTCAGTACTATTCCATTTAGCTAATATTGCAGCCTGAAGTTTCCGAAAACTTCTACTTGATGGAATATCCATTATGTTGGTAGCAGCCAGTTACAAAGGAAGTAGAACTTGTTACCCAAAATTGAGAGACAATAGTAAGCCGAATGAAGTCTAACATGATTTCAAAAATACAGTTAATTTTACAGGTACAAAGTAGCTTGTTTCAGTGTCTCAGTTCTTTCAATAATATGTTTAACATATTCAAAAGGGCCATTAGTAAATAGAAACTTGAAAATGTAAGTGCAAGTATAAAAATCATATACAATAAGAGCTGAACTGTCTCAAAAATTCTAAATCTAACCGGAAAAGCAATTAATTTGATATGCAACGAGTAATACATAATTTATTTCTTTCACCTTTTGTCCTTGACATTGAAAACAATCTGGAAACGTACTTTGATGCATCAAACTCAAAGGGCTCGCGTCCCTAAAGAAAGTAAGACATCTAAGATCAGAAAGTTAACTAATTTCATTAATGACCAACAAATAGCAAAAATTACGGAACTTAAGGATGCATGTTACTTTTACATAATCCAAACTTATCAACAAACAGTTTATGCCGACACTAACATTTCATCTGCCTCGGTTCTCAAGATCCCAGAATTAGGTAGATATTTTGTGAAAGCAAAGAGTACATATGTTTAATTGATTATGTTTTACGTACCAGTCTCTTAAGATACTCTTAAGGTACTTATATGGAGACCTCTTGTGTGATCTTGTTGAATCATGTACAACCTTCTGAAGTTTAGCTTACTTTTTTACCTTGGACAAAGCTATCAGATCATGCCTGGTACCCTGACGGAGACCAAGAATCCGAGACTAATACTGGATGTCAAGAAGGTCTAGTTGTCAAATGCAGTGGCAGAACCAGAATTTTGAGTTAGCATGGGCGGCCGTTGACCGTCGATCGTTGACAGCAATAAAATATTAAGAGTCCCGTTTGTTGCCCCCTTTTTTGCAAAAAATGCATTTTGGAATAGTGATTTGATGGAGAATGTGTGGTTAAAAATACGGAAAAGTTTTGAATTTGTATGTAACATTATTTTATTAAAAAATGTGCAGTTGAAAAGAAGAGAAAAAATGTATTTTGAAAAAAAAAAAAGGGAGATCAAACAAGGTTTAAAATTTCAACATGACAATTATTTTGTTCAAACTGAGCATATATAATTCTATTGTACAAATTAACAATATTCATCAAATGA